GAAGGGCGCCCTGTACGTTGGGCACGAAGTATAGGAAACTTGCATGGTTAAAAAGAAGGGCGCCGCCTACGTTGGGCACGACTTCCGCCTCATTTTTACAATGCGAGAACTCTATCTTGTATTTCTAGTATCTTTGGCAGCCCTATGCCTAGCTTGCGAATGCAAACTAAAGCTATAAAAATAGCATCACGATCGCAACATAGGGCTATTCGACTGGTCCATTTCGTTGAGTACGAATTTTCGTTGAGTATTATTTTCATTCGACTAGTTCAAAATTCAAGATTCAATATTCCATTTTGTCATATACAGTACAAGCAAAGTAGGCCTACATGAAATTTGCTTTCCAGAGCGAGGAATAGACAAAAATATACACACAGATAAAAATACAAGACAACTATAAATATAAAACTATACAGTGCAAAAATATACAATATAGGCCTCTAATTAGGCCTACAGTCTAAGTGTAAAAGAGTTTTTTAAATATAAAAGACCGAAAAAAGATAATACTATCTGGTGAATACTTCGTTAAACAGATGACAGGCATAAGGCAAGAATGAGCTTTTACATCTGTTTGTTTACACACAAGGTTGGCAAATCCTACCTGATCTATTAAAATTTATACACTTATTTAGTGGATGAGTATTGTCAGTGATAATTAAATCCAATTTTTTGAGCACATTATTCGTCACAGAGATCATTTATACTTTCGACATCCTTGCCAATGACTTTTCTTACTGCTTTAGTTATTTTCGATATTTGATGATTATCTTTGTTACACTTGGTAACCAGGCGATAGAACAGAAACATAAAATGGACTCGTAAAATAGACTTCGTTGACAACGAAAATTAACGTAACCAGAATGCGTTAACAAAGTTATGCACGTGACCAAAAAAAAAATATGGCCGATTAGTCAGTTTAGCAACAACATTTGCGTTAATATAATTTAGATTAAATTTCAGAAAATAAAAATTATAATATTTACCCACATTGAAGTTAAAAAAATAATTGTAGGCTAACAGAATTCAAAAACGAATACGGCCATAGTCTCCATGGAATTTTCTTTTCGTAAATGTTGGTAAAATTTCCAAATAAATACTTACTTACTCTCAATACGGTAATTATTCATAACTCTTCTTAATATATAGAATGTATTTTGAGCATGCGCTACTTTCAAGTTTGTTACATCAGCTGATCTGTACATTTATCGCGATATGACTTTGTTTCAGCTCTCGGGACGTATTTGAATCAATGCAAATAAAATTAACTGAGCCATTATCATGCACAAATTTATATTAAAGCATGATTGTACATGCTCAAGACTTTTTAACATTTTTCTGAGTAACAACCTCTCTGAAAATGAAATTCACTTGAACTATAACTACAGTCAGGGACGTATCCAGGGGGGGGGGAGCCGTGGGAGCCGCGGCTCCCCCCTTTGTACACAGTGTTAAAATTTTAAAGCTTATTCTTGAGCCAATACAAATTCTTTCCTGGGATCACTCAAAATGAATACTTCTAAACATGTAAATATGCATCAGTACACGTTATACATTAGACTTGCTACAAGTCACTTATTTGTTATTATTTTTCTCATTCTGGACAGCGCCACCAACGAGAAAGTTAATTTAGAGATAGACGGAATAAGCGGAATAATAATAATTCGAAAAAAAAGAAATCGAGTATGGGACGCCAATTAAATTAGGTATGGCGCGCACTAAGTGCAATAAAGAGTGAGTAACTTAAAATTAGGGCCTGGAACCCAGGCTAGTTATACATAGGCATAATAGAACACATAGGCCTAAGCGTGATTTAAACAAATCTTAAATCCATAAATCTCAGGCCAGGTCTTTTAAGATAGAAATGCGATACTGTGGTTCAATTTCGTTTTTATCCTTTTGCAAGTTTCTTTAAATGTTTGTTAAATAATACTACTACTAAGAGTAATAATAATAATAACAATGATGATGATGATGACAATAGTAATAATTGATATTAATATTAATAACAATAAAAAGTGAAGAAAATTGTGCAAAATGCGAAAAAAAAGTTGTGATTTGTTGATCATAATATAGTATAAAGCTTAGTAAGTTATAATTAGGCCTAAGTTGTCCTGGATATTAAGTAGATCCCTGATTAAACATCATGAGAAATTTGTTGGCGTTTCATTTTGACTATAATGGTAATGTGATGATGATGAATTTTACTATATAAAAGTGTCATTTCCGGCCATCTCGAGAGGTACTATTTCCTCAAATTTTCTCACCTCAACCCCAGCCATGGTGGGGCTGAGGTGGTTGTGAAATCACGTTTTTGAAGTAGGCCTATGTAGAGTACATACTCAAAGACAATGTTTTAAGCTTTGTTTTCTATGGTATACATACACACACACATTAATAAGATCGATATGGTTGTCAAAAATCCCTGATGAAAGATCATGAGAATTTTTTTTTGGCGCTTCATTTTGACTAATGGTGATGTGATGATGATGAATTTTACTAAAAGTGTCATTTCTAGCCATCTAGAGGTACTATTTCCTCAACTTTTCTCACCTCAGCTCCAACCATTGTGGGGCTGAGGTGGGTGTCGACTCACAAAATGCCCTCCACCTCCACCTTTCAAAACAGATCTGTGCCCTTCCCTGGGTATGACCTTAAACTCCATCGAGTCGGCTCCTGGTGTATGTCTTAGTGAATGCTGTTTGTTTTTAGGATGTGATCTGGTTTTTCATGTCCATTTTTCGTGATTAAGACTATTCTGGATAAGGAATGTTTTGAGCAGAGGTGGATTCAAGGCCCCCCCCCCCTTCATTT